TCTTGTTAAGCCGAGTTCGCGTTGCGAAAAATAACAAATAGAGAAAGAAGTCGTGAGGTACTATGAAGTGCAAAACTACCCGCCAAAAACACTGAAGATGAAAGCATTCAGAAAAAAATCACCGTATTGCAAGCGAATGTCCACGCCCCGTCGGCATTGCCTTTCTCCGTTTGCTTTCACGTTCGTCTTTGACGTCATCCGTGCGTATTAGCTGAACTTATGAGCCTTTTAGGATTACAGAGATTTCTTTAGAACATGCTCAAGTATGGCAGCACATGCCTTAGCTGGTGTGCGAGAACTATTCAAGATAAAACAGTGAAAACAAAAAACAGAAAAAAAGAGCTTTACAAATCAATAATAAGCACGGACCTGTTCACCCGGCCTAACCCAAAATATTGGGCCATCATCGCACTCCGTGACGTTGTCGATATGCAATGCTGACCATTCACCCCACGGCATGATTGGCCGTAGAATCTAGAAAAGATGGATTAGCTTTCCTTTCCATCAGAGCAGCAGGAGATTTTCAGAAAACTACAGCTTGAAACGTCGAAAGTAATGAAAGCATAGACTAACTGGTGATTTCTCCAATTCCGCTAGCAGATCTGCGAAGTAGTCTCCACACTCTTCCTGCTTTGCACCAACCATCGACACCGAATGCATTGGACCACTTCTAGAAAGCAATCCATAAGTCATTTGCAACAACAGATTTTACTCCAAAATTGTACCTGAATGTTCCGTGATGGCAAGTTTCCATAACTTGCTTGTAGTACGTGTTGAATGGCATGGTTTCGACCAGTTGCTTATTCGTTAATGATCCAATCTGAAAAGGTAGAGCATTGGAAATGCATTGCGCAGAAGACTCAATCAGCACTTTTTATCGAGTAATTGATGGGGCGCTTCAAAAATCCATGTCCAACGACCTAGTTAATTAGTCTAACGGGACCCTAAAACTTTCGGAAGCTTACCCTTAAGAGCAACGTGACTCTCGAGGTAATCAGTGCTATTAAGAATGACATCAAGACAATTCAATTTCTACGAAATTCCATTTTTTCTATTGCCTCTCGTCACTCCCCCCCCCCCCCCTCTCCCTAACACGATTACGCACAATTACGCGTGTATTTAAGGTCGAACTTGCTTTGACATGACGCGGTGACGGTCAAAGTCATCACTGATACGGTAGCAGTAGCAAGCACCTCATTAAAGAAACACCTAGAGAAACCTCCTGAGGAAATTAAACAAGGATAAAAAAGAAATGCAGAAATTCTTGGCAACATTTGTTACTTACAACACGAGTGTTTTAGACAGCTACAACTAAGAAGGCAACGGAAATGACTAGCAGGAACTCACCTTCACTGGCAAATGTGGATGTTTGTCGTGTAGATATTGAAAGACGTCCTGAAATTAGCAAATGTGACACAAAACTAAAAAAAAGTTCAGCAAGGTCGACATGAACTTACAACAAGATATGAAGCGGCATTTTCAAGTACGCCGATCACAAACACAGGAACACCGTTTGATTCCGCCAGTCCAAGCCGGATGAACTGCTTCGCAAATTCCATCCTTAACAAGCTTGTGTAAAAAGGCAGAAAATTGAGAAAAACTCGTTACCTTGTCTACGAAACTACAGAAACTGACAATTATGACTCTCTCTCATTACCATGAGCATGTTCCAAAACTACTAACCTTTCTTCATTATCAAAATTTTTGCGAATGTTATTCCAATCCGTTCTCAGAATAGATGCACC